GTGTGATAGACCGAAACAAGAGATGCGGCCTCCTAGTGGCCGAAACAAACAATGGAAAAGACCTAAGGTCGATTTCATCTTGGAACCCGATCAAAGGAGGGAAGTACTAAAATGGATCAAGACGTTAATGTTCCTAGATGGATATGCAGCGAATCTGAGCAGGGGAGTGAACTTAGGCACTTTACGAGTCAACGGGATGAAGAATCATGACTACCACATGTGGATTGAGCGGCTTCTTCCGGTGATGGTCCGAGGCTATGTCCTTGACCATGTCTGGCAAGTGCTGGCAGAGTTGAGTTTTTTTCTTCCGTCAGCTTTGTGCCAAGGAGATATCTCGGACCGTCGCTCAGGACTTGGAAAAAGCGGCACCTTTGTTACTCTGTAAGCTGGAGAAGATCTTTCCACCCGGCTTCTTCTTGCCCATGCAGCATCTGATTGTGCACCTCCCGTCCGAAGCATGTTTGGGGGGCCCGTGCAAGCCCGATGGTGCTATCCAATCGAGAGATGTCAAAAGACTCTTCGCAAGAAATGTACAAATAAAGCCAGAATTGAGGCTTCCATTGTAGAGGCAAGTCTAAGGGAGGAGGTGGCAAACTTCACAACACTATACTACAAGCCGAAACTTCCTAGCAATCATAATCCACTCCCTCGTTATAATGTTGGCGAAAATGAATGGACCCACAGCCTGTTCCAAGGCCAACTCGGCAGCGCAAGTGGATCGACCAATAAGATATTGGGAAATGAAGAGTGGCGAAGTGTCATGCAATATGTGTTGACCAACCTTCCCAAGGTGCAGCCGTTCGTTGAGTAAGTTCTCAACGAACTTGTTTCAATACGCCCTGAATATTCTTCATGCAACCCCACTGATTCTCGTTCAGACAGGGAATTTGTTCATGAGTCCTGGCATCAATCAAGGGATCCTACCTCGCAGGAACATGACACCCTTCTTTCTCGGGGTGCGGGTGCGGGGAGGCCTGATTTCATTTCTTGGTTCAAACAAAAGGTAATGTCCAATTTAGCTCCCATGTTCCATATTCCAAGTTTCTCGTTCGTTCGATTAATATAACGACCTATCATGCTTGAGCTTGCAGGCCCAGACTGACTCGTCCATGAGTGAGTAGTTGAGACAGGTTGTAGGCGGCTATGACGTTAGGGTGCAGTCATTTACCGGTTATGACGTGAACGGATATCGCTTCCACACAACAAGATATGAGCAGACTCGGCCCAAACGGAAAACCACAAATAGCGGAGTTTGCACGCCCGGCACTGACGGCCTCGACTATCATGGTAGAGTTGAGGAAATATATGAACTCTCATTTCATGGTCACAAACATAAACCTGTCGTGTTCAAATGCCACTGGTTTAATCCTCGAGAAACGAGACGGACCCCTCATCTTGGGCTAGTCGAGATTCGAGAAGATTCCGTCTATCTAGGAAAAGATGTCTACATTGTGGCTCAACAGGCCGTGCAGGTGCACTATACGTGATATGCCAACCAAGACAAAGCGGATCTTAAGGGTTGGGCTATTGTGCACCAGGTGTCTCCACACGGTAAACTACCTGCCCCAAACGATGACGATTACAACTTCAACGCAAACACATATGATGGACAGTTCTATCAAGAAGATGGGCTACCAGGCACGTTTGAGATAGTCTTACCCGAAGCGATCGAAATGGAAGTAGACAACGAAACGTAGGATGACGAGGTTGATGGAGATGTGGTGCAAAATGCCAAGGACATAGAAATGCTTGACCGATTAAGGCTAGGCAATGACAACGAAGACAACATAGAACCTTCAGATAGTGTTGCCCATTTGGACAATTTTGATAGTGATGACAACACCTATGATCCTAATCATGAAGATTATTCCTAATACATGTAATACTACGTTTGTTTTAGTTTGTGTTTTCTTTATTTATTTTGAATCTATTTCTAATATATATACTAATAAGTCTTGTTCATTCTTTGTGATTGCAGGTGATGGCGAGTAGCCGTCCACGACGTGAGACGACCTCCCTTTACGGGAGACCACGCCCTCCTGTTTCAGACGAGGGGTCGGGGTTAGGGGTAGCGTCCACAGGAGGTCAGAGGAGGAGGACCAGGGTCAGCAAGAGGCAGCGGACTCCTTGCCCGCCACCTTCAGACGAGGTGATGGAGGAGGAGCACGTGACGGCCACGCCCGAGGGCGAGGTCGAGGATGAGGACGTCCGACAGACCCAGGACGAGGCCACCGAGGGCGACAGTTCCGCTACCCCGACTGTCTACCAGCGAGGTCCCGCGAGCCTCCCTCAGCCTCCGCTTCCTCACAACCGGGCACTGATTCGCCCTATGGCAAAGAGGTAAGTAACTATAGATGTTATCACAACTACTTCATATGATAATGTTGGAAATCAAAAGAGGAACTGATAATTTTTTTTAATCACTTGTGCAGGGCCTGGTTGGTTTTGTTGGGTACTTTTGCACGCTCCCCCGCGAGCATCCTTGGTGTTTTGTGCAGGAAATGGTACCCCGGCCTTGTGAACATGTCCGAGGACGTGCGGGAGCCAACCTACACGTGAGACAGGTACCAGTTGGCCCCTGATGACAGGTACCGCAACAAGCAGGAGCGGGTACTGGCGGAGTTTTGGGTAAGTCTCTCTCGCACAACATTTTTATTGGACAAGTCTTTTATTGAAATAATGAATGGATACATCGGTTTTGTATGCAGATGTATTTCAAGCCGGAAGAAGGACTTGAGGCCCGGGCGGATCAGGCGGCTGCCGCCGCCTGTAGGAAGTACGTCACCGACATGCACCATGAGGCGCGCATGCAGGCCCACAGAGACTACTACACCGTGGTGTTGAAGCAGTCCATCAGCAAGCCTGATGCAAGAATGTTGGAGCTGTCCCGGGCCCAGTACCTTGAGGTAGACGAAAAACATTAATAATGATTCGTTTTGAGATTAAGCCGGTTTAATTTTATCTTTTTCTATGTCCAATAATCGATGACTTGTAGGTGATTCCCTGGTGGTGTCGATCCCACTCCGTGTGCTGGGAGATGATCGTGGACAGGTGGTTGTCCAACGACTTTGCTGAGAACCACGCGAGGCAGCGGGACCAGCTTCTACTGAGGCGAGGTGCTACTCACCATCAAGGCAGCCGTAGCCTCCCCGCCTACAAACAAGCATATGTAAGTGATTTCTTTTATCTTATTTGACGCTGAGTTCTGCCTTATTTCTCACCATCTTGCCGTCTTACTCGCAGGAGGCTGCACACCCGGGCGTGGAGGTCTCGGAGTTCTCTGCGTGGGCTATGTCCCACATGGGCAGGGCGTCTTCCTCTGTCTCCTTCGACCCATCTGCCCCGCGCGAGGTGTACTCCGACCCAACCGTGCACACTAAGGTTCAAGAGTACACCTCAAAGGTGAGGGAGGTCCATGGAGAAGATTACGATGTGCGCACTGAGCCCATTGATGCAGAGACCATCATGAGGCTAGGAGGAGGCAAGAAGCATGGGCGGCTGTGGATTGCAGACGGCGCCATCGACTCCACCACTGTTCCCTCTCTCGACGTGCTCCGAGCACGGAGCACGAGCTCCAGCCAGCCCATACGCCCACGGCCTACTCCGTCACTGCAGCGGGTCGACGCTCTTGAGGTACGTCCTGTTTTACTCGTCGTACGTTCATCTTTGCACACCTAAGTTATATTTGCATTACTGAAACATTGAAGTTTGTATTGCAGGCCGAGCTGCAGGCCCAGAAGCTCGTGGTCGAGGCTCAGAGAGCGTAGCTACAGTCCCAGAGGGAAGCGTTCGCGGCCCAGGAGAGGAGGATGCAAGAAATGGAGGCCTTCATGCGGAGTGTCCAGCAAGGGGGTGTACCTTTGCCGTTGGCAGCACCTCCACCGCCTACTCCTACAGCCACTCCTGTAAGTATGAAAGTTCACTCTTACTAGATGCTTCTTTGACATACAACCATGGTTGACATACAAACTTACTAGATGCTTGACATAGAAACTTACTAGATGCTTGACATAGAAACTTACTACATGCTTGCACTAGCTATGACATACACCAATGCTTCACATAGAAACTTACTAGATGAATCTCACACATGCAACCTCTTATCCTTTTTGCAGCTTCCGTCGGCGGGTTCGAATAACCCCACTCATGCGTCACCGAATGAACCATCGTGTCATAGGCCGCTTTTTTGAGGAGTTGTGCTTCGTCATGTGCTTGGACTTGAGCTTCACTTGTGGTTGTGACTTGTGCTTTGACTTGATGGACTGTGTTTGTGAATTTGTGACTTGTGGTTGTGATATAATGTGTGAAAATGGTTTCGTTGTGATATATATGTGATTATTGTGATGTTTGTGATATATATGTGACATGTGATATATATTTGAACTGTTTGTGTCAGTGGAATGCAAAAAACAAAAAAAAATTGCAGTTTCGGTTGATTTGCCGAGTGCAATGGTCATGGCACTCGGCAAAGCTGGGAAACTTTGCCGAGTGCTAGGACATTGCACTCGGCAAAGATTTTTTTTTAAAAAAAAGCAAAAAATCTTTGTCGAGTGCCAGGCTGGGGAGGCACTCGACAAAGAGCTTTTTTAAAAAAATAAAAAATGTCTTTGCCGAGTGCCTTGCCGCCGTGGCACTCGGCAAAGAGTTTTTTTAAAAAAAATAAAAAATGTCTTTGCCGAGTGCCCTAACTGTTGGCACTCGGCAAAGGCGCCGTCAACGGAGCAGCGTCGTTGACAGCTGCTTTTCTTTGCCGAGCGCCGCTGTTGGCCCTCGGAAAAGGCTTTGCCGAGTGCCCGACAAATTGCCCTCGGCAAAAAACCTCTTTGCCGTTAATTTTTTTTCCGAGGGCTCTTTGCCGAGGGCGGCGCTCGGCAAAGCCTTTGCCGAGGGCTTTTGGGCCTTTGCTGAGTGCCCTGGGCCCTCGGCAAAGAGGGCGTCTCCAGTAGTGCAAAGGACATTACTGCTAGACCCTCATTAACAATGTGCACCCATGTACACATTCAACCAACATCCATGTTCCACCTAAGGTGAAATGCAAAATATCAAGCAGGCAACCAAGAATGAAAGAAGAACAAATTGCTTCAGTTTTTCCATTGTGACCAGGGTATTTGTGTGAACTTACTTTTCCATTGTATGGTGTGTGTCCCAGCCGACAAACAACATGCCAAAGTACATGGATCCCATAGCAAAGACAGTGTGGAAAAACCCATACCCATATGGTATGTTGTCTTCCGATTCTTCTACGTTCCTAAACTGCAAATGTTTGAGGCATTTTCTATTTAAGTGGTACAACAAATTTTGGATTTTTATTGATATGAAGATTTGTTTAGTTAGAACGAGGAACATACCTGTATACATTTGTAGTCGCTTCCCGTTGAAAAAGCTGCTACAGCGATGCTGATCAGTTCAATGACAAAACTCTGCAAATTTCAAGATATCAATAAAATATTTGATGAATTGTCAGCATATACAAGAAACATGACTGAATGAACACTGTACTTGCAATCATAGTTTCCCATGTACTTGCAATCAATAAAATATTTTGTATGACAAATCTGACAGAGATAAAAGATCATCATAATATCTTAGGTGTGCCCATGTACGGCTGATAATCTTCAAAAGGAATCAAAGTTAGCAGGCAAAAGTGTCCACATGTAATTAGATCAAGCACACAGAACTGTAAGCGCAGATCCAGTGAAGGACATTGGTTGTGCACCAGTGGCGCATCCAGAAAAGCAAGCAAAGAGGGGCTAAATAATAAAATACTAACAAAAAACATAACTACCAGAATCAATTTTAGCTCAGTCCATTGTTGCTATTTTTTTTTTGTCAAACTCGGTACGCAATGCAACTAAAATTGCACAAATTAATTACCAGCAATTAAATTGGATGGACATGGAACTCAATTTACTTATCTAAAGCTATACAATTTTTGGTTTGCAGGCAACTTTATAGTTAAAAAATAATCTTACCTTTGAACGTGGGGGCCCGAGACGGATCCAGTAAAGGACATTGGGTGTGACCAGTGACGCATCCAGAAAGCAAGCAAAGTGCGTGTTCGCTGGTCTTAAAAGACCAGCCAGCTGGTTGAATCTCCCTCTCAAGTTACTGTTCATCAAACCAGCCAAACAGTATTTTTCTCTCACAACAAACCAGTCGGAACAGTGTTTTTCAGCCAAGTTTCAGCCAGCCGAACGGAGCCAAAGAGGGGCTAAATAATAAAATACTAGCAAAAAACATAACTACCAGAATCAATTTTAGCTCAGTCCATTGTTGCTGTTCAAGTGGAGGACGAACACGGCAGGGAGAAAATCCAAAGGAACCATAAAAGAATCTGGATCATGTAACCAAAGAAAAAAGAAAAACAAAAACAAAAAAGGATTGAAAATTTATCTAATTTCTGTTTTTATCTTTTTTTGTTTGGATCAGGATTCTTATTCAGTTTTACTCAGGATATGAGAGATCTATTTGGATTAACACATTCCTAGCTATTTAGATTACCTCAGGAACCTGTGTCCATGATGTGCATTGTAGGGAGATGACAGGGACAATTTCCACGTTCGATCACGGAGTTAGTTAAGGGAGGCTAGATAAAAAAAATGGGAAAGAAACTTTGGCTCTTTAATATTAAAGTATAGATTAAAAAAGTATAGATATAGATATACATTTACTTGATGGCCATCTCTACTATATAAAGCATATGTATTATGTACTTAGGGTTGATATATAATTTTGACTAACAAACATGTCCGTGCGTTGCAACGGGAGAAAAAACTATAAAATACGAGAGAATGGTACCAAGATACATTCTTGCAAACCGGCTAGGACCTCCTATCTCTCAAAATCTTGGTTGTCGGAATATAAACCTTATCAGATGACGTGTTATTGAACTGTAATAAGACTCATATTTTGTATCTAAAATATAAATATTTATAATGTAGTTCAATGCATTGAAATTTGAAGAGATTTTTTCAGAATTTTCTTACCATCTTGGATGTAGCTGTTTTGGCCATTGTTTTAGCAGATCCGCTTGAAGTTGATGCTTGCGCTGACGATGTGTTTTTTATAGACGTAATTTATAATGGAGGAGAATAATTGATATATTCCTTTTTTTTGTCGTTGTACAGGCTCTCGACGAATAAATTCCTGAGATTGTCTTGGGTCTGGTTGGGAGCCTCTTCCGGCTTGATTTTATATGTGCCGTCAGGGGATACATCAGAATAGGCTTCGTATTGGAAAATAGATTGTTTTGGAACATTCTCTCTCTCTCTCCTTCATCCGGCAGTCCGACAGAGCTTTTATCCCCACCGAAGCACGCGAGACTCTGGTGGTGGCCTATTGTCCATCTCAGATCCCTCGGGCTCTGTGGCACAGGATTCTGGTGGTAGCACATTGTCCGTCGCAGTCGCACGAAATTCTGATAGTGGCACATTCTCAATCTCATGTGCTCTGTGTGATGGGCATCATTATTGTTCTTCTGCTGCTGGCCACCTATTCCAAAGATCTTCCCAAGCAGCTGTTGGAGCCAGCCTATTCCATATCTTCGAGCGATGACTATTGCTAGTGCAGACAAAATGCAAACATACATCTATCAATAAGCGTACTATAATATATTTTTTATTTGTAGCAAAGATAGAGTACAAATTGAAACAAAACTATACGCATGATGTGGCCAACTTTTTTGGCACTTACTAGTCCAACGACGGTTTTAGTCATATCTTAGTCATTATAGTACAAATCAAGGGTTTTAGTCATATCTTAGTTACCCAAGGATATGGACCCACGTACTAGTCCAACGACATTCATGCTCCACTTAAGGTGAAATACAAAATTTGAAACTTTCCTAGAAAAATAAAATAGTTGATAAAATATCACACCTTAGTGGGCACAAGGCAAACCTGCTCCATATGTGGCTCGAGTGTTGCCATTTGTTGCTGGGAGAGGTGAGGAGGCAAGTTTGAGGAGAGAAAGAAGATACATAGAAGAAGAGAGCTGAGCAGGTTTTGGGCATGAAATATGTGATTTATATACAAGCAAGTCTGAGTTCCACTAGACATATGTATTCACGCACCAAATGTGTTCATCGTCACGGTCAGGCAGTTGCATTGCGACGATATGATCCTGCATGCATGCACGAACCAGGCAGGTGACAAAGCCATGATTTGATGAGACGTACGCACTCGTACAATCAGGTATGTGCAGTGCTGATAGGCATGTTTTAGGCTGCAGCTTGATTGCATTGGTGTAGGCAGGCAGGCGAGGAGCTGGGGGAGTGATTCTCATTACCGAACGACTTGGTCACACTCACACATGCTGCATCCTGCGTTGTTGTACTTTATTAACATATTTGTCTATCGTGTTAGTTAGTAATAACGTGTTACATCAAGTTTCTCTAGTGTTAGGTTTCGTCATGTTCCTTAGTAGTATAAAATGTTTCATTTGTTATCTCCTATATATCTGAGGTATATAATTTGTTGATAATTTTATAGGTGTATAATAGCTTATCATAAATGTCTAGATCAAACTAAATTAAATGAACACTCCACTTGGACACCTTCGAAATCGCTTGCCTATTATTGGTCATGGACCGCACAAACAGATGAATGAGAGGGGAGTAAGAGTGGAGCATATAGTGAGAGGCCGAGAGTCCCCCAAATTGGCATTGCCCCCCTCTTTATAGGGGAAAGGAGGTGGAGGCTTTTATAAGTAACAATTAGGCTTGTAGAGATGCTTACAGTTATGCCCTTAGACCATGTAATTGTCACACTAAGGTGTTCCTGTCACACCCAATTTTAAGGATAAAATGGGATGCAAAATCTTATGTGCGCCCAGAGATCAGTCACATACATAAGCCGACAAATCACATAAAGTATCATCACGAGTGTTTATTACATAACGAATATTATCACATAGTCTTTACATAAGCATAACGAAATTATGAAGATAACTCCCTCGCGGAAGCTCTATAGCACAGGGACATCAACTGGTTGACCACAAGTCTAGTAATCCTCAGAAAAGTCATCATTACTATAGTAATCTGTTACCCATCCGGGATTTTTATCCAAATAATGAAAATAAATAAGCATAAGTACATATTGTACTCAACAATTATAACATGGGGTTCATAAGGCTCAAAGGCTTGACTCAGGTTTAACAATATTTAATTTTTAGTTGTCACAATTTTAGCATATATGTAGCATCAAATGGTTGCATACCCAAAATAAACACATGATCAATTGTAAACATGATTAAGGAATAGCACAAACAAGTCATTAATAGTGATCATCTATTCCATAAGGTTTCAAGGCCGCTCGTGACCGTGAGCACGACTGATATACTAGTTTTACACTCTGCAGAGGTTGTACACTTTCACTGTGAGTCGTGATTCCCATATGCCCGGGGTCATGACTCCCCAAAACACTACCAAGATGAGCAGACAGGGTTCACTATGAAGTCTTTCCAAGGTTCGTCTAACAAGTTAGGGCCGCTAGGTTTCTGTGCCCTGCGAATGTAGAGCCCCCCTTTCGAAAGGCACACTCACGCAGAAGTACTCTTAAGAACAGAGGCCGCACTACACCCAACCTGAAACACACCCTTCTTGCGCCATAGAGGTGACTACTAACAAGCTAGAAAAGGTCCTTGTACTGAACTAAAGCCAGAGCCATGTGGCCCTCACAGTTGTACTATAAGTCCCGGATGATCACTTACAGATAAGTCCTTAAGGAGAGGAATCTAGAGCACCATAAAAACCCGATGCTCCCACCCCCTGATTCCATATTGCTAAAAAGTCATGCTTTAATATTTATTGCATATACTATTAGTCAAGTTACAAGATCACGGTTTAGTTGAGCACTAGCAATAGCTACCCAATGCAAATCCCATAGGTGACAAGGTCATAGTCTAATTCTAGGAAATCCTTAACACAAGGTGACACATGCAAATATGAATTAAATGTTTAAAGTGAATAGGAAACAAGGATAATCCCATGCTACACTCATGATCAAAGTGTTTATGCTGATCCTGGTTGTCAAAGTAGTACTCGCGATCACCCACGAATTGCTCACCGTCTATACTCGATCAACACAGCAACACACAAACATCCAGGAGCAATCATGCATAGCAAACAAAGACTATAATTAGAACAGTACACCAGCAGCATAGAATCAAGGTGAAAAGTTTGTAAAACGAATCTACATTTCGTTATGAACACATAGACGCGAAGATCACAAAATCTAGAGCTAAAACGAATAAGTTATGATTTAAACAAGATTTCCTTTAGTAAAATAATAGGTTAAATCTAACCATGAATTTTAAAAGTTGAAAAACATACTTAACAGTAGTATAAACACGTAGACAACGTAATTACGAATCTAACGCAACTTGAACGGATCGAATTAGAGTTAAAACGGAGATTCTATGGCTAAAATAAAATCAGTGGCAATTTTGTAGATAGTGAAAACGTATTTTGAATCTAAACCGAAATAAATTACGATTTTAAAAGAAGAAGGCGTATTCTAGCAAATGCGCTATCGACCGCGGGTTGAGATTCTAATATTTGTAAGGGCCTTTTGGCAAGCATACCAGGCGAAGGGGTATCTACGGATATGGGTCGTTAGATTATAATTGGACGGTCAAGATTAGATCTCGGCGGAACAGAGAAAGGCCGGCCGGCTGCTACAGCTCCGGCACGGCGGCGCTCCATGGGTGGCTCGCCGGAGCTCTCGGTTCTCGGTGCTCCGACCACTATAAGGCGCGGGAAAAGGACAGGGAGAAATAGGAGGGAACGGCGAACTCGATGGGGGAGACTAGGAAAGCCTCTACGGCACGGTGGCGAGCTAGAGCTCGATATGGCAGCTCGGGTTCACTGGGGAACCTACGGCGACGACGCGGGAGCGGTAGAGAGCAAAGGAGGGGGTGCGGTGAGATACGGTGACGTTACCTTACCCCGAAGCGCGGCAGGTGCTCCTTTTCGACGGCGAAGCGAACAACGGCGGGGTGAGCTCGGCGGCGGTGGCGGTTTAGGGTTGCGGCTGCTGTGGCTCAAGCGAGGGCGGCGGTGCTTGCTTCTAGGGTTTGGGGAAAGCGGTGTGGGCGCGGCTGCTATTTATGAGGCGTTGGGGAGCTTGGGGAGCACGGCAACCGGCCAGTGGCGGACCTAGGATTTGAAACCAGGGTAGTCTTAGTCAAAAATTTTCTTGTGCAACACGACAAAATTCAAAGAAAAAGTTTGGTAAAATGCTTATAAATGAACCAAATTGAGATAACACAATTAAAAGGTTCAAAACTTATAGATTTTTCTGGATGGATAATTATAGGCATAAAGATGACAGGGGCCTTTTAAAATGTACCTTCTTCTGATAGAATCTTGTTCATTCACATCAAAGGTTGAAATTGGACTCCTTAGGCCTGGGTCATGCTCAAGGGAATCAACATCAGCAGCCGTAGGCGGTTCTTCTTCCTCTTCTTCTTCAACTTCATCTGACCCATTATCTCCAGTAGGATCTTCTACGATAGCAATGAATAGACAATTATGATAGCACTTTCATCACTCACAATTAGAGGATCTTCTACAACAGGAATAGACAACTCTTCATCAACAACTGGAATTGGTGGAGCACAAGTTGCAACTTTTTTTGCCTCATGCTTCTGAAAAAGAAATGCTATATTTGATTTCTTCATGCCTCAACTTCCTAAAAAATTACAACAATTTCCATTCAATTCTAGGCTCACAGATGATAGATCTACAATCCCTAAGCATTCTAACAAATGACAAGAACAAATCCCTAACCAAATTCACAAGAACTCACCAGGCAGTGCGTTGCGTCCAGGAGACCAGGACTGACAGACACAGACTGATAGAGGCCTGCTCCAGGGGATCGGGGAAGGGCGGACAGCCGCTGCCGCAGTGGCGTAGCCAGCTGCCTGCTGTGCAGTGCTGGACTGCTGGCTGGCGTTGGCTGGCGCTGCCGCGCTGGACTGCTGGCCGGCGAGGCCACCAGGGATCTGACGGAGG